GACAGACTTGGCCTCAGATGTCAGACTTCGTAGTCTCCTGCCAGAGAGATACCCAGGGTGGAAATAGCATCAACCTGATGAAACAAACAAACAGCACCACTAAGCCGAGCACCATTGGCCTTGCCCGTCTTCCCTCCCTGCCTCTCTCCCGAGGCCTGGGCACCTGCACTTGGGGTAGCACAGGAAGAAGAGAGGAGAACAGAGCTTCAGCTCCTCCACGTGGCACCAAAGGTCCTCCCAGGACACCCTCACCTTCCCGCCCAGTCCAGCGCTGTCACCTCTTCCTGCCCCACAGTCCCGGCCTGACACAATACACTCACTACCGTCAGCCTCCAGGCTGCTACCCTCGCCTTGTGCTGCGGCCGCCCAGGCAAACAGACCTCATATCCTGCCATCTCAGCTCCATACGCAGTCCTGCTCCAACCACATCTCCCTGTTACCGCGGGGTCCCAGCCACCCACTTCTCCGCCCTGGATCATCCTGGTTCCGTGCTCTGTGGTCCGTATGGCAGCCCAGAAGTCCTGTGTATTCCCGGCTCAGGTCACGTCACCTGCTGTGCTCAGAGTCTTCCACTGCTTCTCACCTCACCCGGGGTCGAACCTGCGTCCTGACGGTAGCCTCCCTGCTGACTTGGGCCCCTCTGCTCTCCTTGTTCTATTGCTCCAGTGCCTTTGGGCCCTTGACGCTCCTCCTGTCTTTAAAAAAGATTTATTCGGCCGGCGCCGCGGCTCACTAGGCTAATCCTCTGCCTTGCGGCGCCGGCACACCGGGTTCTAGTCCCGGTCGGGGCGCCGGATTCTGTCCCAGTTGCTCGTCTTCCAGGCCAGCTGTCTGCTGTGGCCAGGGAGTACAGTGGAGGAAGGCCCAAGTGCTTGGGCCCTGCACCCCATGGGAGACCAGGAGAAGTACCTGGCTCCTGCCATCGGATCAGCGCGGTGCGCCGGTCACAACGTGCTGGCCGCGGCGGCCATTGGAGGGTGAACCAACGGCAAAGGAAGACCTTTCTCTCTGTCTCTCTCTCTCACTGTCCACTCTGCCTGTCACACACACAAAAAAAGATTTATTTATTGTATATTTGAAAGGCAGAGTTAGAGAGAGAGAGACTCTTCCATCCTCTGGTTCACTCCTCAATGGCCGCAACAGCCGGGGCTAGGCCAGGCCAAAGCAGGAGCCAAGGGTTTCTTCTGAGTCTCCCACATGGGGGCAGGAGCCCAAGGACTTGGGCCATCTTCTACTGCTTTCCCAGGCCACAGCAGAAAGCTGGATTGAAAATGGAGCAGTTGGGACTCGAGCTGATGCATAGGGGGTTGCTGGCATCCCAGGAGGCTTCTTAACCCTCTTTGCCACAATGCTGCCTCCCTCTGACGCCCTTCAAAGATGCCAGACCCCTGCACACCCTCGCACTTGCTGTTCCATCTGCCCAGAATGCTCTTCCCACAGATAACCACGTGGCTCCCTCTCATCCTCCCCAGGCCTTGGCTGAAGGGTCACCATGCCAATGAGGCTTGCTCTGAGCCCCCTTTCTGGAATGTGCATGCCTCACACCCCACCTGAGATACCCCAGGCCTCTCTGCACCTCGTTTTCCATCTCTTCGTTGCTCGCGGAGTCATCTTTATCCCTCTGAGCAGAAGGCAAGCTCCATGGGGGTACCAATCATTTCTGTATTCACAGCTGAATTGCCCAATGCCTAGAACCATGCCTGACAAATGGCAGCATTCATAAAGCATTTTGTCAGGTGAGTTCTGTGGTGTAGTGGGCTAAGTCTCCACCTGCATTGCCAGCATCCCATATAGGTACCAGTTCATGTCCTGGCCGCTCCTCTTCTGATCCAGCTCTCTGCTGTGGCCTGGGAAGGCAATGGAAGATGGCCCAAGTGCTTGGGTCTCTACACCCATGTGGGAGACTCACAAGAAATTCCTGGCTTTGGTTCTGCCCAGCTCTGGCCATTAACAGCCATTTGAGGAGTGAACCAGAAGATGGAAGACCTTTCTCTCTGTCTCTCCTTCTCTCTGTCAATTTGTCTCTCAAATAAATACATGAATTTTGTTTTTTGACAGGCAGAGTGGACAGTGAGAGAGAGACAGAGAGAAAGGTCTTCCTTTGCCGTTGGTTCACCCTCCAATGGCCGCCGCGGCCAGCGCGCTGCGGCCGGCGTACCGCGCTGATCCGATGGCAGGAGCCAGGTGCTTCTCCTGGTCTTCCATGAGGTGCAGGGTCCAAGGACTTGGGCCATCCTCCACTGCACTCCCTGGCCACAGCAGAGAGCTGGCCTGGAAGAGGGGCAACCGGGACAGAATCTGGCGCCCCGACCGGGACTAGAACCTGGTGTGCCGGCGCCGCAAGGCGGAGACATGAATTTTTTTTTAAAGATTTTAGTTACTTATTTGAGAGGTAGAGTTACAGACAGTGAGAAAGAGAAACAGAGAAAAAGGTCTTCCATCCAATGGTTCACTCCCCAAATGGCTGGAACAGCCAAAGCTGGGCCTATCCGAAACCAGGAGTCAGGAGCTTATTCCAGGTCTCTCATGCAGGTGCAGGGGGCCCAAGGACTTGGGCCATCTTCTGCTGCTTTCCCAGACCACAGCAGAGAGCTGGATCAGAAAGAGGAGCAACCAGGACTAGAACCAGCACCCATATGGGATGCCAGTGCTGCAAGTGAACAATTAACCTATCGCACCACTGTACCAGCCCCTAAATACATAAATCTTAAGAGAGAGAGAGAGAAAGCAAGCGAGCATTTGCCAAATGCACCCATGAACCATCTACCAAGCCACATCCTCCCCAGACCCTCTGACCCCTGAGCCTCGGGGCCTCAGCCAGGACAAGTCTGTGCTGCCCTTGCCCTTCCGCTGAGTCAAGCCCCGGGGTTGGGCTCACAGAAGGGGCTCAGTTCACATGCACAGGAACAGAACGCTCATGTGCACCCACTGTAGGGAAGGTCCTTTCATTTGTGTATCCACAGCACCCTGAGGAATGGCCCCTTTCTCTTGACCCTGGACAGTGACAGTACCCAGGATACTCCACAGCCACTAAACAGAATCCCTTCTCTCTCCAGCCCAGATTGCACCTGTACGTCCAGTGGTCATCCTTTTCTGTCCACCAGATGCCCCACAGACATGCTCAGCTCTGTGTCTCCAACACTGAACTCTAGTGGCAGACACTGTGATACATCAGGTTAGGCCACCTCTTGGCAACACCCACATCCTATATCAGGGTCTTGGGTACTCCACTTCCGATCCGGATTCATGCCAATGCACACCCTGGGAGGCAGCAGTGATGGCTCAAGTGCTTGGGACCCTGCCTCCCATGTGGGAGACCCAGATGCAATTCTTGGCTCCTGGCTTTGAGCCGGCCCAGCTCTGACTGTTGCAAGTGTTGGAGGAATGAGCCAGTGGATGGAAACACTCCGTCTCTCTGTCTTTCTCTGTATCTCTGTCCCTCCCCTCCCCTCTCCTGGCCTCTCTCCCTTCCCTTCCCTCCCCTGCCACCTCTCTGCCATTCAAGTATATTAAAAATAGACAACATGAAAACAAACCTGAACTCTCAGTTGACCTGCACACCACAAGGCGCTGTGTGCCTGGGCTCCCCGCCCTAGGAAATGGCACCTTTTTGTCTGCCTAGGTGCTCATGCCAGAGACCCAGATTCCATCCCTCCTGGGTCCAAGTGCTGTAGACTCTCTAAATATCTCAGTAATTCCCCTGCCCCCAAATCTGGGCTCCCCTGGACTTCGGCGCCTGTGCCTTGCCTGGAGTGTTCTGCTTGCTTCCTCAACTCAAACCCCCTCCATGCCACAGCCTGAGTGATCTATCGCAGGTGCGAGCAGACTCACTCCTTCACTGCCTCTGATCCTCAAGATGAAGTGGAAGGAAAAGAAGCTCTTGGTTTTAGTTGGGCATCTACTGCGGTCAGTCACTAGTGTGTGCCAGGAACCGTGACATTAATGATCCCCTTTGGTTATCACAGTAAACCATTGTAGAAAGAAGTCAATTGAGACCTAGAAAGATAAATTGCCTGAGGTTGCACACGTGGCTGGGGAGTTGTGGAGACCTTCCTGAAGTTTTCTTTCTAGCACACTTGGCTGCCTGCTGATCTGTGGACCCCATCCTGTGTGCCCCCTTCTGCGTCTCCATTGCCATCACCCATCATCAGCCACTCTACTCTCTGAGAAGTCATCTGTTTATCTTAGACATGCCTTGCACTTCCAGACGTCTGTGTGCATAGCCATTTGGGTATTTGGGCCCCTCTTCCTTGAAATACTCCTATCCGTCCTTCAAAACCTGGCTCCAGTGGCCCTTCTCCTGTTCAGCCTTCCCAAACTGACCCCCTCCCCGTAATGATGGTTACTTGCTGCTTTATGTATCTCCACAACGTGTGAGCCATGCTCTCAGAAGACAGAAGAGCACGCCAGTCAATGGAGGAGGGTTGTAGGGCTTTAGAATTTAGAATTAAGTCTCAGTGAGCTGTGTCACCTTCGGCCAGTGACTGATCTCTTTGTGCTTTGGCTTCCTACCTATGAAACGGGAACGGCACTCCCTAGAAGGGACTAAATGAATGTGGCAGGGGCTGGAGAATAGTACCTGGAGTATCCTAAGTACTCAACAAATATGACTGTTCGTTATTAGCACCTGACGCCTCTGAGACTCAGACAGACACTGGTTGCATGGTTCCTTTCTTTACACTAAGACAACGTGTGCCCCGGTGCAGTATAATTACTTGCCTACCGGGCCCAGGGTGGGCAGGCTTTGAAGGTCTGGGTAGCTGGCTCTGGGTCACCAGGCGCATGGCTTGGCCGCCTTGAGCCTTAGTTTTCTGGACGCACTAAGCAAGCATAGCAATATCTAAAATGCTCAGCGCGGTGGTTGGCGCATGGCAGGGGCTACACGGATGCACGAGACCAGGTTCTTGTCAGACTGTGGTGCAGGTGTCATAGTCCAGGGCTCTTTCTGCCTCTCCTGGGTGAGAGCCACTCACGCGAGTCCCTCGTCTCTGTGCCCACAGCGGATGACGCCTGCGGTGGAACCCTGCGGGGCCAGAGTGGCATCATCTCCAGCCCCCACTTCCCCTCCGAGTACCACAACAACGCCGACTGCACATGGACCATCCTGGCCGAGCTGGGGGACACCATCGCCCTGGTCTTCAGTGACTTCCAGCTGGAGGACGGTTACGACTTCCTGGAGGTCACGGGCACCGAGGGCTCCTCTCTGTGGTAAGTGCGCGCTCCAGCCCCCCTGCCCTCTGCCCATGCAGCTGTGAATTCCCGGTGTACACACACATTGTCTCCTTAGCGCCTGGGGCTGCTTCCTTCCCCCTGCCGTTGGAGCCCTTGGTCCAATCACAGTGAGAATCCATGGGCTCTTTCCAACACCATGGTAAACAGTGATGGTCATTTTGCTCTCTGATTCAATGCGTGTCTCTGCTGAAGACTGCCCTGGGGGGTCTCGGTTGAGTGACTGGCATTGGGACTAAAAACCTTTTGGTCTCAACGTGGATGTGGTCATGGTAAAACCATCTGTACAGGTGTTCTGCTTTTGGAAGACACAAGGCGTCCAACAAAGGGATTGAGCGTTTGGGGGGATCTGGCCCTGTGATCCCAGCCAGGCACTGTGCAAAGGGCAAGGCCGACCTCTTGCCTTGTGGCCTCGTCAGAAAGTGCCAGCTCTCTGGTGGTGTGTTCCATACCCATTCTCCTACTGTGGATGGGATAGGGAGTGATGGAGGACTTGGCAACTTTCCTCTCGTTGTCTGCAGACCTTGGGAAGTGGCCAGCTTCCTGTGTGCCCGGTGGTGTGCGGCATGTGGAACCCTCTCGTGTGTTGCACTGTAGCTGCGTGAGCAGGCTGCAAGCCTCAAGGGGACCTTGGGGAGCGCATCGGGGGCCAGTAGGAGGGTGTGTCCAGATGTGCTTCAAGAGAGGAGGGGCAGGGCTGCAGCGCTCGCTGCTGTGTGCCCGGGAGCAGCAGGGCTCCGTGTGTGGGGGTGGAGGGTGCAGGTGGTGTCGCCGAGGGCTCTGAGTGCAGCAGAAAGTGGAGGCTGCGAGAGTCACACAAGCCAGAGACAGGGAGCTGTGGGAGGAAGGGAGGCGCCATGGTCAGGCTGGAGAGGAAGAGAGCAGGGCGAGCGGTACATTTATTGCATGCCTGCTGCATGCAAGGCTTGATGGTGGCAGAAACGGCAGGTGAGAAAGACATGCACCTTGGAAGAGCTCCCCGTCTACTGGGTGGTGAAATCGGACAAGCTCCTGGTAGGAGCCACGTGTGGCCACTGCAGAGGCAGGAGGGGGAATGGACTCTGCCCAGATACGGGCTCAGATCTGGGGGCCAGCATAACAGTGAGAATGCAGGCTTGCTGGTGCCATGGCTGTTGCCAGCGTGCCTTGTGGGTGTGGCTGGGGTCATTCCCCATCCTGCACAGAACACAGAGGAGTCCAGGGCAGCCCAGGGCTGGAACTGCTCTGCGGAGGTGGAGGCCATGTGAGTGAGTCTGGGACCACGGCTGCAGTTTCCCACTGGGAGTGGGGTTGAGCATCTAGATGAGCCCTCCCTGGCCTGGAAGCCCCAGAGGCTGCCCAGCCCTCACACCCTCAGACCCCTGTCTCTCTCTCTCTCTCTCTCTCTCTCTCTCTCTCTTTAAAGATTTATTTTATTTATTTGAAAGAGTTACAGAGAGAGGTAGAGACAGAGAGAGAGGCCTTCCATCCGCTGGTTCACTCCCCAGATGAATGCAACAGCTGGAGCTGCGCCGATCCGAAGCCAGGAGTCAGGAGCTTCTTCTGGGTCTCTCATGTGGGTGCAGGGGCCCAGGCACTTGGGCCGTCCTCCACTGCTTTCTCAGGCCACAGCAGAGAGCCAGATCGGAAGAGGAACAGCGGGGACTAGAACCAGCGCCCATATGTGATGCCGGCGCCTCAGGCCAGGGCTTTAACCTGCTGCGCCACAGCGCCAGCCCTAACCCCTGTCTCTTTTTGTAAAAGACCTCTTCCTCTGACTGTAAACCTAACACACTTGCTCCTTGTAGAAAATATACAAAGTTATATAGAAATGAACAACAATGGTTATCATTTTTTCTATCTTCCCCTTCGGCCTTTTTTCCCTGGCCTAGATCCAGTTAGCTAGTTCCTTAGCTGTATTTTAATATGAGAGTTAGGATCATAAGATGCCTGTAGTCATTTTTTCACTTAACATCGTATCATGGAAATTGTTCTATCACCGCAGAGGTCTCCACAATAGAATAGGCGTGGTAATAGTATTATTTATTGAGCATTTACTCCCAATATATGCCAACCAGTGCCAGACTCTTTAAGCTAACATTTCATTTCATCTCTCTAAAAACTCTAGGAAGGCCATAACTCCTGGAAGAGGGCAATGAGGCCCAGGGAGATTAGGCTACTTGCTTGATATCACACAGCAAGGAGCAGTGCTGGGATCCAACCCTGAAGTCTGTCTTCTTAGCCATAGTGCCACATCCGGGGCAGGGCGGGGGTGGATTCATGGCTGCCTGGCTTCTCCTTGTAAGCCTGTGGCCCAGTTACTCACCAGCTCTCTGCCTAGGATGTCCCCCAGTTTTCACTGCCATAACCAGATGCCAGGATGAAAGATCTTTCCGGTTCTGTCTCTCTCAGCACCCCCGTCTCTCACTCACTTGTTTGGGAGCCACAAGGCCTCCTCCAGCTTCTGCCCACCAAGGGTGAGTCAATGCCTTGCTGTCCGAACTTCTGGAGGGAAACGAATCGGAGTGAGGATCCCTTTTCCTATTAATTCCCTCAGTGGGGAAGGAATGAAGCAGAGGAAAAGGGTAGGGGAGTCATTCTCACTTGTTGCTGTAAGATTAAATTATACTTATTTACAAGGCGAGGGTCCCCATTGTGCTCTAATTTATACCTGCATAGCAGTTACGGATAAACACACTCCGAGGCTCGGGACGGATGTGTGCGAAGAATCCCCGCTCTCCCTTGCCCCTCGCCTTGATGCATCCCGGGATTCCTGTGAAAATCCGCTGCTGCGGGTTTATGAGGATCCTGCTTTTATTAGCATCCATTAAGATTTCAGGCTGTTCTCCTGGTTCTGTGCCAAGGCGTCGAAAGACAACAGATCCTGTTAGAAAAGATGGATTGGACTAGCTGGGCATTGGTTTACCTGCAGAGAAGACAGGGACTCCCATCGGAGGGAAAAACAAACAGCCACCTCCATGGTGGGGATCAGGTGCCCACTGCTTCCCAAGGGAGCGTGGCCCTCGGCACCCCTGCCTCAGTTTCCACACTCTTCTCCCCGAGGGGGACACCGGCAGGAGGGTTTTAATCAGGGCCTTCGCTTGTTCGGGATTTGTGGACTGGTACTAAAACAACTCCAGCAACATAGGATTGATCTTTTTTTTTTTTTTTATTTCTCTAAGTCAGGCTATTAGAAGAAAACCTGCCAAGTCCTCAGCCCATTATTTCATAAAACAAAGGACACGTCAAAGCCAAGAATGTGGCAGGGAATAATCATGTGGTAACCTTGCACTGACATCATGCAGGCTGGGGTGGGGACAGCCACGGTCGGTGGCAGAGTGTGCCCGTCACTGAGGGGTCCAGCGGCACTGACACGTCCGTCAGTGGCCTTCTCCTCCCTGTGGTGCTGGCCCACGGCCAGCCTTGGGAGTCCAGCAGGCACTGTTTTGTGCAGCAAAGGGCTGTTACTATGGTGAGCGTTGAACCCTGTAGCTCTGACATGCTGCAAGAATTCCCTAGCATGTTAGACTCACTCTCCCTAAAGTTAATTGCTTTTTTTGTGTGGGTGATTGTCCGTGAGCAAAAACTAGGCTTGAACCAGCTGAGAGTTACAGTCCAGATAGTGGATTTGGTATTGCTCTTCAACTATGCACACACACATGCTCTACCCCACATCCCCCCCGCCCAACACCTCCAAGTCACCACCATATGCTCATCACCAAGTCCAGCCCCATGACCATCACTCACATACACACACTCACATATATGCATGCACACACATATACTCACGCATACTCACACATGAAAACACACACGCTTGCACACACACATTCACACATATACTTGCACTCTCACACATGAAAACATGCACAAATACTCGCACGCACATTCTTGCGCACACATACATACTCACACATGAAAACACACATGTACACTCACACATACATTCACTCTCAGGCACACTTATGCACATGCACACTCACACTCAGATGCACACACACACTTACATGCACACTGTGATCTCCAGGTCCCCAAGCTCAATTTGGGAGCCATATCTTTTACACAGAGAGAAGGAGAGGCAGAGGCAGAGAGAGAGAGAGAGAAAGAGAGAGGTCTTCCATCCACTGGTTCACTCCCCAGTTGGCCGCAATGGCTGGAGCTGTGCCAATCTGGAGCCAGGAGCTTCTTCTGGGTATCCCACGTGGGTGCAGGAGCCCAAGGACTCAGCCATCTTCTGCTGCTTTCCCAGGCCACAGCAGAGAGCCAGATTGGAAGAGGAGCAGCCGGGACTAGAACCAACACCCATATGGGATGCCGGCGCCTCAGGCCAGGGCTTTAACCCACTGTGCCACAGTGCTGGCCCCAGCCATGCCTTCTTCACTGACCCTTCTTGGGGTGGAGGATCTCTCTTTGCCTTGCTCTGATCCCATCCATCGGCTGTGACCATGGCAGGGCCCTGCCTCCCCCCCAGATTCTAGGAAAATACTCTGGCCATTGCCCAAGTTCCTCTGGTGGTCCTGGACTTTTGCAGAAGGCAAGGAATGGAGGATGCAGAAGATCCTTTGCATCCACAGGGACCCGGGTTCCTGGAGGCTATCAGGCTCAGGTTGCAAGGAGCACAGTGATCATCGGCGTCTTACAGAGCCAGCCTCACTATTGGAGAACATGAGCAAGGTGAAGACCACTGGGAAGCCCTAGGCATGGACCCTCCCCTTCCTCTGTGCCTCATGGTCAGCACCCTCCCCCCGAGTCTCTGGAACCCTGCCCCAGGATGCAAGAAAGGAGAGAAAGCTTACCTCCTCCTGGGGGCTTTGTAGAGCCCTCTGGAATCCGGCATGGAGCCTGCATCTGTGACATCTGGCTGGGGAGAAGGCAGGCTTGGGAGTCACAGAGACTCGGGCGCAAAACCCAGATCTGCCTCTCAGTAGCGGTGTCATCTTAGAGTGTTTCCTTACCTCTCTGAGCCTCAGTCTCCACATCCGGAAAATGGGGTTTGTATG